CAGCTAGGAGCCCTGCAGAAGATGAATCCAACCTCCATTCTCACAAAGAATTAGATATGTTAGGAGCACAGGCATGTTCCCATTAAACCTCACACCAACAAGCAAGGTATGGCATTCAGCACGCCTCTCCTGCCTAAGCTTCTTTTTTGGAACTACAACACAGGACAGGTGCTAGGAGTCAGTTACCATCAGATGATAAATAATCACAGCTAGCTATTGAACCAGATCGTAAGGAAAGACTTCTGGGATTGGAAGGTCAGGAGATGTAGAGGATACGTGCTTATTTGCTGTCATCTCTGCTGCTGTGAGCAGCTTCCACAACCATGTCCCTTCTTTGGGATTTTGCCTAAGGTCTGATTTCATTTATGATTCTCAGATCAGGCTAAGGTAAAGCTATTCCAATTATTCAAAACAGCTATTCTTGAAACAGGGTCACAAGAGCACTCCAGCAATGCCAAGCAACAGAAGCTCACAAAGGTACACATCCTCTGCACTGCATGAGCAGTATGAGGAACAAGCCTGGCAGGGGCTTTCATCAGTCAGTTGATATGTTTCTAAATCCCAAGCAATCTTGCAATATATCACCTGATAGACAGCATCTCACAGTGTGATTTTGGGGTGGTTCTGTGCGGAGCCAGGAGTTGGACTTGATAATCCTTATGGGTTCCCTTCCAACTTGGGATATTCTGTGATTCTATGATACATGTCTGAGCAATAATTTTGATTCATAGAGTTTGTGGAAGACAGAAGGAAAAGGCAAAAGACCTCTTTCTTACATTTTGGTTCAAGCAACACCTATCTGAAGCTAACAAGAGGATCAAGACATTGGAACTGGGTCTACCTGGTAATAAAACCTTTTGCAGATTGGGATGTAATAACATTCAGTATTTATTTTTTGTATATAAAAATATATATATATTTGTATTTATACAAAGTTACTTTGCAAACCAGTCATTTCTGTGGAGTTCATGTGCAACCCTAGGCAACAAAGGAAAGAAACTAAACATTGCAATCTGTAACCAAAAGCAGAACAAATAGCTCCAATACAAAGCACGGCCAGGGTAGGCAGCTCAGAGTGAAAATGCTGCACAGGAATTTGTACACTGCTTTAACTCAGCTTTCAGGAGCAGTGGAAAACTGAAGCAGGAGTAGTAGTAGTTTTACAGATACAAAAGGAGACATACTAACAAAACAAAAAAAAAAAGGCCAAAGAATCAGGAAGTGGAGGAATAAATGACAGTGGTGCAGAGCAGAGATGTGTCTCCTTCCATTTAGACAAGCAGACATACTCTTACAATTTAATGGATTATAAGGACTCAAAGATATTTACTGTCTAGCCACGTAAGTACATTCTAGCTCTTGATATGCTTTTAGCATTGAAACCAGTCATATATTACATCAATGTTATTCTTGTTTGTTGAAATAAGTGAATAATTTGGGGAGCACATTCAATTCACTGTTTTTACATTCCCTTGTTTCATCTGTTCTCATTTTCCACAATATGCTGTATGGAAAACTACAGCTGAAGTACCAACATCTTAACTGATTTGCCCAAATACACACTAAATTAATCACATACAGGCTAAGTTGTTAGGAATATGACATACACAGCCTTTCCATTTCTCAGTGTGCGGACTTCAAGCAATTCAAGGACATAATTGTGCTGTTGATGGTTAAACTCCTATTCTTGGGAAAAAAAATAAACAGAAGTGGATAGAAATGTTGCTTCTATTGCTGAAGAATATACTTTCTGAAGTTACTGCTACTGATATTTGGTGGCATTGCTTCTAAACCTATTTTCCACAGAATCTTTTAAACCTTTTTTTTCCTTTTCCTATTATAGATCTTGAAATTCTGCTAATCAGAGATAGCCATTGGAAACAGAAACATCAGCCATTAAAATTCCCATAATACTGACTTGAAACACAATACAACAGTGTTTACTTTATTGCTTTGGTGTGGGCTGGTTTGTTTGCAGTCAAACCGTAATTTATACTGGCTCCTCACATATTGATATGTTGAGGAAATAAATAGTAAATACTATTTCCAATCCATCTGTTTCGCTTGTTAGAAAAACAACAGTCAGAAGCTTTTCAGAATTGTGTTTTTCCTGTACAAAACCGAACAGCGAGCTGCATTTCTGCCATGCTCGCAGTGCTCAGGGTGTAAGTCTGGATGAAGGGTGGCTCAGGCTGGGCTCCCAGCTCTCCCCGCAGCCCCGGCCCTGGCAGAGGTTTGCAGTTTGCAGTGACAAATGTCTGGAGGAGACCCATGGCATCTGCGAGCCTGGCGAGAGCCGGCACAAGCTGCGGTTGGCTCTCCTTGCTGCTTCTCTGTCTGACACACGGCTGCCATGGAGAGGAAATGGCACACACCTAGCTAAGAGCTTTCTATTAACCTCGCAGTGAGGAGAATGCAGCTGGCTCTCCCATCATTCACCTGCCGCTTGTGGAGTGGAGATGCTGCCTGTAGATACAAAGAGATTTCTGCCTCGTCTTCAATTCTTCACAGGCAAAGGAAGGCCCTTGTCTAAGAGAAACACGCAGCCTATGCAAACAGCCTAATGTATGACCCAGTGCCAGACTGCAGCACGCTGAAAAGGCTCTACTGAATCAGAAACACTTCTGAAGAAAGCAGCCTGGTTAACTACATTCAATTGCAGCCGTGTCACTGGCTTTAAGCAAGCATAATACCACAGTGCAGCAGCCTCACAATGCCTTGGCATGCATCTGCATTTTTCTGGCATTCAGCAATGCCACCTTCTAGTAGACACCATGTAAACACTCACAGTAACAAGTTGTATTAAAATATGAAGCTGACAGAACACCGTTAAAGATCACAGAACCGTGAAGGGTAGGAAAGACCGCCAAGATCCCTAAGTTCAACCTCACCTACCCCACCATGCCCACGTCCCTCAGTGCCACATCCCCACGGCTCTGGGACACCCCAGGGATGGTGACCTCACCCCACGGCAGCTGTGCCACAGCCCGACTGCTCTTTGGAGAAGAAATTGCTCCTAACACCCAACCTTGCCATTTTGACTACCAGGTCACAGACACCAAAGGGGGCATGGCACTATCTTTGGCCTGTTGGGCTGATTAGTTCAGTAGGAAAAAAAAAAAAAAGCTTAATTAAAAATAAATAAATAAATACATAGAGATGGCTTACGAGTGCTCGGGTGTATGCCAGAGCTGCCAGAAAGCACCTGGTTACTGGCAAAAGGAGGGGAAAGGGGAAGAGAGGGGAACACGAAGTCTTACTTCTGGTCCCAGCCCATGAGACAAGACAATGGAAAACTGCATCTCTGTCAGGATTCCTGTTCTGCTCAAAGACAAAATAACTTGGAAAACCACATTTCTTTTCTTGGGATGGACATTTTCTGAACCTAAGTAGCTTTAGTGCTAATAAGCTCAAGAGGAAAAAACGTATTTGTTGATTCTTGTAAAAAGATCAAGCTAGCAGCTTTGAAGAGTGCTTTCCACATGCAGGCAGTACCTTTTTTTAAATACTGAAACTGTTGTGGTGGATATGAGTTTCACATTTGAACCCTGAGCTACATGATGAGCTAATCTAAACCACTGGATTCACAGAGCTGTTGCTGAAGCCAGTAAAAATATTTCATAATTACTTTTTGCTTCCTTTTTTGCCGATAACAAATGCCATCATGCTAAAGCTCAGAAACAAACTGCTTTCCAACACTTCAAGAACAAATGCTGACCTAACTACCAGCAGCACTTGGAACAGTAACCAACAGCAGGAAGTTTCTCACATGCAAGTTACCAGCTACAAGTTTCGGATACTCACCAGACTTCTGCTAACAGGAGACACTTGATTTTATTTTCTTTCTGTGATTTTGAGCACTCTCCTACCACAAACACTCAGAAGAATTTTTCGATGTATTTTAAGTGTATTCCATATAAAAACTTACATTCCATATGATACAAACTGACACATTTTTGCATTTCATTTTGGAGCCTATCTTGGTCAGCACCAGATCTTTTTTTTAAAAAAAAGAGTTTAATATTTCTTTTTGGTTAACTTCCAGTCCTCAAACAATAGATTAAAATGCACAGTCCTTCTCAATCCTGATACCTCCTCCATTTGGGACCATTGTCTTTTTCTCTTTTGACTTCTGTAGACTGAAATGCAATGCTTTCATCTGCATCTACTGCTAAAAGCCATTTATCCCCAGCCACAGACCAGCCCCTACGTGTCTCATTAAGCACAGTTACATCTGGCTCTTAAAATCCCAACCAGACCATTTCTTGCCTAGCAGTAGCATACTGATGAAAGAAGCACTCTGCTCATGGCTTTGTTAATGACAAATATCCCATCCCATTACTTGGGGAGGTTGGACTTCAACAGCACCTTGCTTTTCAAAAACTGACTGCATTAGTACAGACATTTTTTAAATAATGTTTTGTTGGGCTTTTTTTTTTATAATGAGAATAATCAAATTTAATTAAAGGGTACATGTCAGGTAAACCATTGCACTGTGGATTAATTCAGGTGGGTGGTGGTGGACTGGCTGTTGGGATTTTTCTTGAAGCTCCTCCTAAAGTCAATCAAGAATACTCCATCCTCAAGAAGATCCTAGCAATGCAGAGAAGGCATGAAAACCATCCAGTGCCCATCAGCCTTCTTAAAGTTGGATGATTTGATTGCAAGTAACTGGCATACTACATCACCACAGTCTAATTAGATATAATTAATCAACTCTGAACCAATTACTTCCAAAAGTCCCCACTGGGCCTTTTCAGGTGGCAGGAATGTCAGGAATTCCCGATTCTGGCATGCAGGAAGGAATTCCAGACTAGCTCCTACCATTCATATTGGCTTCTTTTCAAGAGCTTCCATCGGATCAATCCTGTGGCAGCATAAACTAAACTGAACAAAACAAGAAAGGAGCAGGCAAGCAGGAACCCAGCCCTAAATCACTCAGGATTTCAGAGCAGCAAATAGCATCTTGTGTCATGCTGCATGCCAACAAGCAGCCCTACCTGCAGGCCGCAGGCACAGCATCCCTCCACAAGAAGCTCTCAGCAGTCAGCTGGCTGTGCTACTGGAACCAGCTGTATGTTCTATGCAGCTCCTACAGGTTGCTCTACAAAAAAATAGTTGCTTTAGCCCAACCTAGTGCTAATAAAAAAAAAGTCAGATCTGTCCCCAGAGTGAATCGCCACAATTTATCTTTGCAAAAGCAGATGGGAAAAGCAGGATCTTGGATGTTTCTGTAGGACTTTACAGCCAAGTGCTCATGGTCTAGCAGATCTTGAGCTTTCAAAACATGGCATTCAAATAATGGACAGCTGACATAACTAAGCAAAGCTCTGATCCCTTCATGAAACATGCCACTGTCAATATGAGCTGGATTGGCTAAATGTATGTCACTACCTGAAAACATCAGGGCAGCCTCAGTAGCAATCTGAAGAGCACAAAGGAGACCAGTGCACCACAACATGAATGGTATCAGAACAGGCTGAAAATCTTCCATACTACAGGTGAAATTGCTAATCCAACAGCATTAGCATCAACACAGCTTCAAAATGAGTTCCTTAATTTTATTCTATTATGAACATTAAGGTTGCTTAGATAACACCAACAATCTTTCTAACAATTAGCAAACATTGTGTACAGTGAGATTGTTAAAAAAAAAAAAAAGATACATTACATGCATATGATCTCAAGCAAATCTGTCAAAGGAGTACCAATTAGCTCCGTGACGGCTGGTCCTAACAAGCCAACAGATATAGTGAGCCCATTATAAAAGTAGTAGCCTGAAGTACCCTCCTTCATTCAGAGTCACGAGCCAGAAGAAGACTCAATTTAGCCCTTTGAAACATTCCTCTCCACCCACAAAAGCTGCAACTTTCATCTTAGAAATTCTGCCTGTGGTACAACCAGCAAATTCCTCAGCTGGAAACAAAGGAGCATTGCTGTCATCCAGCAGCTGTAGGCTGAGGAACTTCCTGCCTCCAGCCAGCAGAAGAACTCCCCAGCTAGTGCTGCAATCAGCATTTACCAACCTACTTCCCATTCTCTGTTCTGTGTCCAAGCTTGCCTCCAGCCAGAAGGAAAAGTAGGCAGCCTCCTGCAAATTTCCCTTTCTTATATTTATACCTGCACACAGCAAGCAAGAACTCAGGAAGAAAGAGTAACCAGACAAGGTCATAAACATAATAATCGTAAGGTCCATCTGACCTCTTTTTACTTCAAATCTTTATTCTGATTTAATTCATGACTGTTTTTCCTATTTGTTATCAGCTATCATGATGAGCTTACAGCATGAAGACATTCTCTATCTCTGACACCACCCTCAAAAATCCCCAGTAACTCTTCTTCTTCCCTATCCCGTCAGATAAAAGTTTGTAAGATGTAGACCTTTCTCTGGAGATCCTGAGATCCTCCTGTTCAAAAACAAGTTGATAACATTCAACACATGCATCCAGAAAACACTCACTTAACAGAAGTGAATCTATCCCTGATGCTTAAAGCAATGAGAATGCTGCAATGTACTATTTGTAGCTGGCTAGCATAGACCAGCAGAAGGACAGATCTTTCTTTGGTAGACCACCACTTGCAGTAGGTATTTCGTGTTACAGACCCTGAGCAGTCTGCTGGCTGCTCCTAACTGGTGTGAATAACACTACCTGGGTGACTATTCCAGTCGTTTTTCCTTGAGACTGCAAAATAGAAGGAAGCAAAAAAGAAGTGCCCCTGTATATCACTGCAGAACGCTGAACACACACCATCTCAAAAGTTAAGCCTAAGCTTGACTCAGATCTCTTCTTAAAATCTACTTGTGCTGATGCCTACTACAAACTGGGCAACAGATGATGGTTGGGAAAAGGCAAAGTAGCCAGAAATCTTGCAAGCCCTGTTTTGTACATTACCCTGAGCAGGGCAAACACATGACTGTAGCTTTGGCAGGCTCTGGAGATCCAGATTCAAGTACACCCAGTGCTGCAGTCTGTGAAGCCCCCTGGACAATCAGGAACATCACAAAGAATTTACAAGCTTCCTCAGTTATTCCAGGGCTCATGAAAAAGTGCCAAACCTTCAGCCACCAGGGTTTGTTTTCCAGTACATTTTTCCATGGAAATGGATATTTAACTTCTTCAATTTTACATCCAATTACATTGTGCATATACAGGTGCTCCATTTTTAGAAATGGATTTTTTTCAAACAGTTCAGGGAAAAAACTTGGAGTTACATGCACATGCCTACAGTAGGACTAAATACCATAATTGCTTTCCATGCATATTTAAATGTTAATTTTGCTTGAAATATTTAGATGATTTCCTCACACCTATGAATAAATAATCCCATGCTTACGTGTGCATTATTTGTATGCACAGAAAAAAAATATAGCCATAAATCTTAAAACCTTATTTGCATCATCCAGTAGGTTACAACCAGCCAGCAGAGAGGAGGGAAAGGACATGAAATCTAATAGATCTTCCTTCTGAGAGATGACTGTTTTCTTTTAAATCCAGGTAATAGATGGCGTGATGCCCACATGCTCTGCTTTACAGGCTGCCACTAACTGAAATTTTGCTTTCTCAGAGGAGTTTGTCAAGATCTGTAAGAAAATTGCTTACACTGACGCTTTGAAGATATTCAGAAGAACTATGAGAAGCTTCTTATAGCAGTCCCTCAATGTCAACCCCAGCAAAAGTAATTGCTAGGGCAGCGCAACGTATAACAGCAATGAGATCACACAGTTGCTAAGTGCAAATGAGCAAAAGAGGCAAGGAAAGCCTCTCATGCTGTTCATACAGACCAAAATAATCATGTCTGTTTAAGAAACCATTAGGCATTGTATATAACAATGCTGCTTTTGCCCAAAGCCAGGCTGAAGATGAGAAGTCCAGTTTTCAAGGCCATGCAAGATGAAACACTGAGGAAGAAATAGACTGGATACAGACTTGCTCATTCAAACAAAATCTGCAAATGCTGCTTCTCCTTCTAAAGGAGGCATCAAAGAACAACTTATAAATTCTCTCAATCTTGTCACAGATGTCTTGTCTCACAAAAAGGTGTGTGAGTTCTCTTGCCCTTTCCTTTGCTTCCTCCATCATTTCTGAAGTTCACGCTGAGCAGTGTTTCATCTTGCTTGGCCAACCCTCACACCATCAGTCATTTCTGTAACATCACCTGGTGCTTCATGTGTTGTGGGGTGCTGTCACAGTTTTCTTCTGCCTTTGGGACTGCAGCCTGGTCTGTGACATCTGTTAAAAAATGCTACTTGTGTCTAATGGAGAGCAGCTTAAAAAGACTATAATTAAGGATACGCCACGACTGTGTTCAGTCCAGGAAGCCAGGTCATTTCAGGTTCCCATAAATAGAAAGTGACAATGCAGTTGAAAAAAAGACTCAGATTTTTTTGTTGCACAATTTTTCCCCTCCTGTTCCTGATTTAATGCCAATGTAACCAAAAGATTGACCTACAAGGGCTCAGATTTCCTTCCTGTTTCTTCACTCCCATCTCCGAGTTTCAAATTAGTAAATTTATGTTATCTGCAAACCCTGCTATAGTTCTCTTAAACACAGTTATACACACTGTTGAATGAATCAGCAGTAAAAGAATGAGCTAACTCCCACAAAACACCATCAAAGGTTATATCAACATAGTGATGGCTGTTTAGAGTGGTTTCCTTAGAAAACAAAGCTAATGTAAATACATTAGTTAGTGACTTCTTCTTAGTCTGTTTTTCCAATTCAGCAGTAATTTTGAACCATGGACCAATTTCAACCCTATTGAATCATAGAATCACAGAATGGCTTTCCTGGGTTGCAAAGGCCCACAGTGTTCATCCAGTTCCAACCCCCTGCTGTGTGCAGGTCGCCAACCAGCAGCCCAGGCTGCCCAGAGCCACATCCAGCCTGGCCTTTAATGCCTGCAGGGATGGGGCATCCACAGCCTCCTTGGGCAGCCTGTTCCAGTCCCTCACCACCCTCTGGGTGAAAAACTTCCTCCTAATATCCAACCTAAACCTCCCCTGTCTCAGTTTAAAGCCATTCCCCCTTGTCCTATCACTGTCCACCCTCACACACAGCCGATCCCCCTCGTGTTTCTACGCTCCCTTCAAGTACTGGAAGGCCACCATGAGGTCTCCCCAGAGCCTTCTCTTCTCCAAGCTAAACAATCCCAGTTCCCTCAACCTTCGAATGAAAGGATGGAAATCTCAATGCCATTAAGGATAGCTGGAGTGCAAATCAGAGGTGCTCAAAACGCTGCCCTGCTGTAAGCATCAGACTCCAGCGAAAGATGCCAAGCTGAAGTTTCCCTAATTACCACTATCATCAGTTCTAACTCCATTTGTTTCAGAAAAACTAAGTTTGACCATATCTTGAACAGGACCAGAAGCACTCAGTTGTTTGGTTTCACGAAGGACCCATTACAAAGAGTTGAGAGGCAGCAACTCACAGCTGCTAAAGCCTCTGGACTAAACGCCATACTTATTTCACTTGCTTGCTACAGACAAGAACAGGCAATTCACAGGCATGTCATCAGTCTGGAAGATTTTATTTGGCAACACACTTCGTTTACCTCAAGCTCCACAATATCTTGAACCACAGCATTTGCCATGAATATGATACTAATCCTCAAGGGTGGACTCACTGTGACACACACTCATACAGCTATGTCCTGAAGTCAGATTCATCTAGTAGGCAAGCACAGTCACAGTAAGGCTTTTGAGTCCCTGAACAAAATGAAGACAAGCAGCCATCTACACCGGTACAAGAAAATCCCATAGCATGCTCTGCTCAGAAGGGCTACTCTACCCTGACACCACAGAGACTCTTGCCAAAACAGGGCTCCCTCTTTGAACTTTCTACCTTCGGTGTCATCTCTCTCCCTCCCCTGCGATAGCACTCAGCTCACTAGCAGTAAAAGAGCCATCTTACTGATTTCTCAGCATGGCAATAGTGCTGCCTTTCGACCTCTTTCTGAAGAGCAGGAGTGTATTAATTCCTAATGGCAAGCCCTCACTGCATATTAATAAGTCAGCAAATGAATAGCACATACTTTATTATTCGTGCTGCAGCTCGCACAACAAGCCAAGGTGACAGACAAGCACTGGAAAGAAAACTAAACTCTATCAAAAAGCTTACATATGCTCCGAGTTACTGAAAAACACGTTCCATCCAGGCAGCTATTTCAGGCTTCTGTAAACCGACAGGTGTCTACACTGTGCTTACATTATAGCCCTTAATCTATGAAATTGGATTTGCAGCCAGCGCTTCGTGAGGAAAGAATGTGCCTAACAGCCACAAAGACCTATATTCCATATTCTCTGTACATTTAGCTGGCATCAATTTGTAGGACACAGACACGACAGAAATGCCCACATGCTCCTTCTAAATTTTCTCCAAGTTTTAATGGCCACAAAGTAGAAGGAGGGTTGGTTTTATTGCTTAATTATTGTTCTGTGTGTCCTTGTACTTAAGCAAAGCTTTAGCAATATGTTATTTTTCCTTGGAAAGCTGAGCTGCAACCAGCATATTTAAATAGCAAACAAACTGCTGCTAGCTCAAAGAGAATCTAACAGCTAATGATTCAAGCATGGGTTAAATAAAAGCATTATCAATAGTTCCCCTATTCAGTATGTCTGTTTTGACTGTAAAAACAAAAACTCACCAGCTGTACAGAAAGGATTTTTCCTGCAGTCTCCAAACAGAGCAGATTATTTCACCACAAATGTTGGCAAGTCTTTGTCTGACAGACAGAACTCCTTACTTGGTCAAATCTCTTCATCGAGGACCTGTTAACAGAAAACATTTGGAAGGTTTTACTTATTCCAGATAATATATATGGATTAAACCACTGTAAATTATTGCTAAGTTCAAACTGTCTGGAGAATTCAACCCTGAACATTATGTTATTTCTTCAGGATGATCCCTCAAGCTATCTCTGGAATTAAAATTAGCTGCTTCACTATCAGTTTCCTACTGAATCCAAGTTACCAAGTACTCTTCATCATGTGAACTTCCACACACCCTCCTACAGACCATAGAACACAACCAGCAAAACAGTCACTTTTCAGCAGTGTGACGTTTTTTCACAGGATCACAGAACTGCCCTGGTTGGAAAAGACCTCAAGGATCATAAATCTCCAATCCTCCACCACAGCAGGGCCACCAACTTCCACATTTCACAGCAGCCCAGGCTGCCCAGGGCCCCATCCAACCTGGCCCTGAACACCTCCAGGGATGGACGGGGCATCACAGCCTCTCTGGGCAGTGTCATATTGTTATCTCCCTTTTGAAATAATGAAGCTGACTTGTGGAATAGGCAATTTCAGCAGACTCCCAGCCTTGGTACCACCTAGATCAGATTGCCTGGCCATTGATGCTCTAGGAAGATTCTTTCCCTCTTATTTACTGTTACGAATTTCTACATTGCTGCATGACATAAACATCAAAGGTGAACAAAGAAGAACTCACAAATTTTATAACAAACAACTTAGCATAACTTCTTAGTGGAAGATACAACTCCTGCCTGACCTTGTTATCCCTGAACTAGAATGAAAGTTGGATTTAGCAAGCAGAAGGAAAAAACAAAATAGAAGGAAAGAAATTTATGCTTTATTCCAGCAAAAGCATTAATCCTTTCTGCCCTTTTAGGAACTAGTTACTTATTTCCCTTAAGAAATTCAGCAGTAAGTAGAGAGATTGCATAATTCTAAGTAAAAGAAAGGAAACTTTACTTTGTTTTTATTAGGATATAGGAGTTACCATAAAAACAAATCTCTAAAATAGATCAGTTTTTATTCCCCAAATAAGGAACGGAAGGGATGCACCCTTCACCAGACTTCCTTGAAAACTCAAAAAGGTAAAATATATATATCTATCCAGCACACTCAGATGTTTTTCTTAAAATTCTAAAGGAAAACAAACATTGAATGATAAAGTGATCTCTTAAAGGAGTATTCTGCCTCTGTGAGCCCTTCCAGAAACACGAGGCAGTGTTCTGAAGTGCAGGAAGCACTCAGCGTGGTGTCAGAGGTCAGTCTCAGAAGAGGAGCTATTCACTGAAGAAGATGGTGATGTCAGCTCTAAACATGAGATGGAAAGGATCCAGGAAACTCATTACTTCTGCAACCATTCAGGAACAAATATTTAACTGGGAATTCAGACCAGAGAACGTGGAACAGGGAAGGGATTTCCGTAGAGATGCAAAGTAGGAATTAAATAAGAAATGCAGGTCAGAGCCCACAAGCAATAGGTCTTGTTCTGCTCGTTCTTCCAGCTGCTGCACCAAGATGAAGCATCAGCAGCAGTTGGGCACCTGCATTCTGCATCAACTCCACTGAGTACTGAGGATGAAGCATCCTGGCTCCTTTGCATGGCAGCTGGGCTCTGAAAATGAAAACCTGCATCCTGAAGGGAAAGCATAACTTCAGTGAAATTACTTTATGTTTGAACCCACCGCAGCCTGATTGCATTACCACAGTGTAGGTCTGAAGGAATTGGTATTCTATTCTACTGGCATTTTTTACATACAACACAAACAAGGCTGACCCCCACGAGCAGCTGATTGCTGATGCACTGAGCTCAGAGCAGCTCAACTCAAGCATCTTTCAGCAGATGAGCCTCAACATTTGAGCTCATTTCTCTCAAGCACTGTTTTCATAGCTGTCATTATTTTTTTTTTCCTGGAATATCAACAACCATAACCTACTTTAAAAACTGCCACCCAGTATCAACACAGCTTTCTTGCTTTGTACTCCCAATGTCACATTTAGAGGCAAAATCAGCTCTTTGCTCAAAATGAGTAATTCTCTTCCAGAAAAAAATCACACTGGGGCTTTTCCTCTATGGGAAAACACAAGTTTTGATACCCTAGATGATATGTTCAGATAATTCCCAGTTTCCAGTACTGTTCTCCACATGGGGTTATTTTCTCAAATGCATTTTGTAATGCTATGCATCAGCATGTGTGGAAAATCATTCCCCTTGACGTGGTGTACATGCACAAGCACATAGATGCACATGCACACACTTTAATGTACATGGAACCACGTGCTATTTACACAAGCTAAGTGTAACCAGCCTGTGATTAGTACCTAAGGATACACAAGGAAATGCTGTATTTTGGAGTGACAAAGAAGCATTCTTCTTCCTCCCTCTGAATTAGCTGAGTCTTAACACAGGCCTTCTATCTTAAGAAAAAACAGTTATGTTTGTAGATGGCTCCCTTTTGAAAGTTCGTTATCTACATGTAACAACCAGAAACCTTCCCAGAGTTACCAAGAAGTGAATTCATCCAGGACTGAAGAAGACTGGCCCAGAATGTTCCAACCTCACTTTTGATAAAAGGACCTGGTAACAAGTTCTATTACACTCAAGAGAAAACTGAATATAAAACTCATGTCTTAGCAATTTAAGTGAAAGTGTTGCCCTTCTGCATGGCTGAAAGCTTCACACTGCTGAGAATAAACTTGCAGAAAGCAATGACAGCTGTGGGAATGATGCCATATATGAAAAAACGTTTAAACTTCCCTCACAGATGACAACAGGAGCAGTCACCCAGCAAAGCAGTGCTCTGCTCAGGTACAGGTCAGCTGAGACAAGGAGAAACTTTCTGGAGCGAGGCTCTAATCGAGAGGAAATTGAAAGCCAAAGTCAGTTTTTGAGGGTAATCCTTTAAAGTAAGGAAGAATGCTTAAAAACAAAGATTAAAATTAAGAAACGATTAAATTCCACATTAAGCTAATCCATGTAATCCATAAGCAGAGATATGCCAGAGTAAAACTGAAAGCTTCAAAGTGATCTCTAGAAGTTAGGGAAAAATGCAGAAGAAAGGAAAGAAACCTGCATCAGGCACCTCCTTCCTGCATCGGTGACAAAAAGCAAATACCTACACTGAGCCATTTGCTCAGAGTAAAGGTTAGCATATAGCATGCATCACCTTTAATTCACCCAAAATTACGTGACAGACACTGCACTGCGCCATTCTCTGAGATTCCTGTTAATCATCAAATCTGGAAAGTGTATGTTTTTAACAAGATTAGAAGAAGATGTAGGGAAGAAGCAGTGATGTGGAATTCCTGCTGTGCACATGGCTACTCGCACTGAAGTGCTGAAGTCTCAAGCAGGTGCAAATTCAGGAAGCACACCCAGAAAGCACACCTGGCAGCTGCAGCAGAGCTGTTTCTTTCTTTCCCTGTAGCTCCTGTCCCTACAGAGCCACCGAGAGGAGTGTGAAATGCCAGACTGCTGCCTGCAAAAGGGTGGCACAGTCCAGCACGTGGGCAGCCCGTGGCACTCAGTGCCCATCCTGTGTGCCTGACTCCTCCGTGCTGCCCTCAGAAAGGCTCCTGCAGGATCCCACCCTACCCCAAAACCAACACACTCAGTACATGCGGCCCTTCGAGGCCAGATGGCTGCACCAGAGGCTAATTCACAACATGAGGATAAAGACTGTTGGGCTTTGCAGGGCAGCACGGAGCGCACATCGGACACAGCTCTGTATGCACGTGTTTACTTTTTGCTGCAAAGATGCCATGATGTCAGCTTCCCCAACCGCTCCTGCGGCTCCTCTGGGCAGGGAACGGTGGGTGCAGGAATGGTTGGAATGCATTTGCTGTAGTGCACGTTTCTGCTCTGCAATCACTTGGAGTTTCCTGTCAGACTGCAGGGAGAAAACAGGCTTCTTTTAACAGCCAGTGCATGTAGGTCTCCATATCTTATCCATTATCTACACTATACCTAGGTGTGTACCTGCACAACAAAGACCCCGGGGCCCATGGAGCAGCACCGCAGAGCTTCTGCAGGGCTCAGAGTTGGGCCAGAGAGGGCCCAGGGCTTGCACTGCTTCCCAGGGACCGTGCCGTGTTCCCAGGGAAGGACTGTTGCTCCTCAAAAAGAAGGAACCTGGTTTGCATCTTTTCTTTTTTGAAATACTCCACTCTACTACAGTTAATGCTTTAAAAACCAGTTTCTTACTCCAAGCATTACAGGTGGTTCATATGTGCCATTTTTATCTGTCGGTTGACATCCGAAATCCACTGCTACTCTACAAGGCTCCAAGTTTGTATTGTTAGATATATTCCTTACATGTCATCTACAGAGGTTACTGCCTTCCAATATCTAAAAGCAACTGCAGCTGTATCTACCTAAAAAAGGAAAATGAGTTCCATTTATATTGTATTCACAATGCTAAAACCAAAAGCATCTATGGATTCCAAATTATTGAAGTATGCAGCTATTTTTGCTTCCGCTATAATTGTGATGAAAATAACCACCAAAAAATAGTAACGTATTTCATAACCAGCAGCAGAGTGCTAAAAGCCCATCCCAGTTCTTGTTGATGTTTCCTCTGGATTTTTCAAAGCATGACGATATGAATCTGCAGATTATGATTCTGGAGTGTTTGTGGCATACATGAAAAGTCACAAGACTTGCAAAGCACTGCTCTCAAATATCCACAGCCCAGATCGCTCTGTTCTGATAAGAAATCAAAGGGAAGCCAGGGTGAGGCTCAGCACATCACCGTCCTTGCTAGAAACTTCCCACGAGGGCATTTTCACTTGATCACAGGACAAAACGTTACGTTATTCTGGCCATTTCCAACCTGGCTTCTTCCTACAGCACAGTCCCGAGTGAAGGGCATCATTTTGGTATGAACTGACAAAGAAAGGAAGGCCATCCATTCTCAACACTGCCACCCTTCAGTATTTCGCATGGGCTCCCCATGCAGTGCCACGCCGTTCCTGCTAGCTCTAACCTCTCTGCTGTTTACAACCTTGGAATGTTTGCA